AAGTGAAAATCTACCGAGCCGTTTTCTTGTAATCAAACTGTTTAAAAAAAATTAGGCCGATATTTATGGCATTTTTATATCATGGCACATATATCATAGTCTTAAAGAACTTACTGAATTATTACGGCTTTACGACAAGTAGTTTAATTTTTAAAAATTCATCAAAGTTTGAGAAAATTAGTATTTTTTTGACGTTTGTTACAATTAAAATTAGACGATTTACTTGGTATAACGATAGAGTACTTAGTTTTAATGAACATACTAAACCATTAAAGTCCTACAATCCTACGGAAACTGGTACAATTATAAAAATTGTTGATTTTTGAAAGTTCGTTTTCAATTACGTGTAATAAATCCACTTGGAATCCTTTATCACTCATAAATTAATTCATTTTTTATTGATTTAGTCGATTGTTTACACATATCGGGAAATTAATGTAACTTGCCTCAAGGCAAAATACCAATACCAACTAGTTTCTAAAGTGATTTTTAAAGCTCGTTATAATAATCATGTTCCATTCATATTGCAAAAATATCTATACGCCTAATATAGAATTATATTAGGATAGAGCGGAGCTTTATGATGCGCGGGTAAAAAGGCCCACCGTCATTATATCAAAAACAAGTGAAGTGAGAATCTTAAATAATACTACTTTAAAGTATAGGAAAAATGATGTGTAATCAGTCATCATCTTAAATCGGGCAACATTGCAATAGGGAGATAATCGGCCACATTTCAAATTCTTAACGAAAGTTTTTTTTCGTTGTTAGTCTTTGTTTTGAGCTTAGTTGTTTAGCTAAGGGCGCCCCCATAAAAATTTTAATGCGAAACCCCGCTAATCCATGCTACGTTCCTGTATAATATAAGCACCTTATAAAATTATATCTATAATTACAGCTAAAATATAAAATTATAGTACTACGATTAACAATGCTTGCAGTCATTTTACCTATTAAGTATAACCTAATCTATTTTATGTTGGTTTCAGAGAACTGGATGATAATCTTCTGAGGGAGTTTCCGAGGGCTTTATCGACCGTATCTCAATTGAAGGAATTGTAAGTAAATAATCTATTTTTCATGGTGATGTTTTATCAATGGCGACGTGCCTAATTGAATTTGAACGTCGTGCAGAAATAACATTCGACATCGAAAGCGTTCGCGGAGCCACTTAGGAATAACTTAATTTACCATTACACATAATTAATAAATGATTATACTTGTGATTGAGAGTATTAAAAACAACTCTCTGAAACAAACATTCTACTTTTTACTTAATCTTGGACTCTACGCCGGTATGGAAAAAATAGATGATGACTTAACGCATTAAATTATCAGGATTTTTATCAAATTGCTAATTGCATTTTTTAAATAAATTCATGTTCAATTTTCGTATATTTTCTAAATGTAATTGCTAATTTTATGTTTTCTCGACGTTCTAAGCCATTCTGAATCAAATGAGACTAAATTTGAAAAAAGTGTGTGTTTGTGAACAGATTTTTGACCTTTCGTCGACGTTTTCTCAAAAACAGCTGGCCCGGTTTCAAAAATTTAAAACCCATTTCATGTAACTCGATGATGACTATCGTTTGTGCGACGATCGGTCGAGCCGTTTTTTCGTAATTATCTGTTGAAAATTTTTTTCGATGGAACTTTTTCTGTTGATAGTCATCATGATCCAAGCCAAGTTAAGTCGTTTAATTTTAATGCATCAAAGTTTGAAAGAAAAGTCAAAATTTGTGTCAAAAGTCGTTTTTGTGATTTCACAAATTTAACCCTTTCGACTCGGATGCCGCCGCTCTGGCGGCAAATCGTGTCGTTGCGAAGTAAACTTACAACATGCGTTTTTTTGTTATTCTTTTGAAATTAATTCCCTATTAAGATCATTTATTGATTAATTCATAATTATTTTCATAAAAAAATATGATAAAATTAATTGAATAGCTCATAAACACCATTATTTGTTAGATATAGATGTTACTAGAAATTTTATATATTATTTATATACTTTGTAATGTATTATACATATGCATATTATACATTCATACACACACACGTATATAATATACGTGCAATAGAAAAAATAACGGTATTATTGGGGTTGGCTTAATACGGGCACGTTAACCGTATCTTCTCTCTAAGAATATTGTCTTTTTAATTTTTTTTATTTAGTTTTTATTCAGAATATATTTGATATAAATTTTATAATTATTTTTAATAATCTGTGTAAAAAGGATTTTTTAAACAATATTATGGTTTTTATCACATTTCTTATTTTTTTTCAAATTCTCTGTTTTATTATCATTCTAACTATATTTAAAAACAATTATACCACATTTAAAATAAATCCGATACAAAAAAAAATCCGAGTTGTAAGATTTGTATAGCATTATAATATACCGCGCGTAGCGGACCGTCGAGCAGTCAGACTCCCGAGTGGAAAGTGTTAAAAGCCATTTTTTGGAATTAGCAGGAAAATAAGTCTAGTTGTGTAAAAAAATATTACCAATCATTAAGTAATATCATTTACGCACATGATATTTGTAATCGTGCAGTTAAAAATTTTATCTAAATAAAAATCTCAATTTTGGTTGATTAAGTCAATTGTTACGCATATCGGGAAGTTCATGCAACTTGCCTTAAGGCAAAATGCCACTTTCAACTAGTTTGTTTTGAGGGCATATAACATGTTTATATGGGGAATAAATTTATTATATTATAGAGAAAACAAGCATGAACTAAGTTTTCATTACTGTGAAATAAGAATCCCCTAAAATTAAGCAGCATTATAAAGCAGCAAATATTATCAAGTAATATTTAATTTTTTTATTTTTTGCGTTAAAATAAAAATTTATTATAACTTTATTTTATGTATAGAAATGTATTACATTACGGAATGATTTTAAAAACTATTATTTTTTTCATGCGTTTCGACATATGATGGACACATCATCAGTGGATAGGAACATTTTGGAGAACAACCATGAAATACCTGCATTAATAACGATAGATATAAAGTACATTGACACTAGCAACGTAATACTAAAATTGTCAGTAATTGTGTATAAATTTGTATTTGTAGTTGAAATTAATTTTAACAAACTTTTGAAGAGGCAGATGTATTTGGCGTTCTCGCCAAAAACCCAAATTCTTCAAGTTCACAAAATTTTATACGTCATCCATACATTTGTCAGTTTGAACAAGGAAAACCACACAAAAAATTTACTCGATTAATTGACATAAAATAATACAAATTGAAAAATTAAAATAAAATAAAAACAAGATATTTTTAGTGAAACAGAATATCTCAATCAATAGCATTTTTTTACTATACAAGTTGAGTTGAAAAAAATTGAATAGTAGGTTATATATATATATATATATATATATTATATATATATATATATTTATATATATATATATATATATATATATATATATATATATATATATATATATAGCCAGAGTTTCGTAAGTGGAATACCAAAACATGCCCACTTACATTTCAATAAACTTCAATAAAGATTTTAAGCCATCAGAATGGAGCTCGGTTCATAAAATTGACTTCTTAACCTATCGAGGACCTATCTATCTTTTCTGTAGTCAATATCATTTGCATTCAATATTATGTAAGTGGCGCAAAAGCAAAGTTTATGATACGACTTTTATTAAAAAATAATTTATAGGCATTTGGATCCTTGAGAAGAGCAAATAATATGTAAGTAACTGGCCCGAGGCCAAATGACCCATAATTATATGTCGTAAATGTTAAAATCCGTTGTTCATGCTGCAAAGAAGTAGCTTAATATTGCTTATATAATAATAATAATAAGCACGCTGTTTGAAAGCAAGATCTTAGTATGAAAGTAACATTTTTTCCTTTCTTCTGTTTCCAGAAATTTATTTCACATATAGTCTTGTCTTAGCTTTAAAATTCGTAAACATTTCTCTCTCAAGTTAATTTTTTACTCAAATTGTTGACCATGTTAATACTTGTATGCATAGGGTACGGTTGTGCCACTTTTTGTTAATCTGCAGTATATTTGTTAATGTACCAGTTTGCTGGAAAAAGTAAATTAAATAGCAATTTGAACATTTGTCTATGTAAAAATCCTGAAAATTCTAATTGCTGATAAATAACTACTAATGTTCAACTTACAGCAAAATAACAAACAACGTGATCTGTCTGTCTACAATTAAGTTATTATTAAAAGACTTTGAACATGAAAACTTACTTTTGACTCTTTAAAAGCAATGCGCTCTGTAGAATGACTGAAATCAATAATGGAAACATGTTTGAAAAAACATACTTCGTCTTACTCCTTTTGGTCCATATCTTAAAATCAGTATAGTTTAGTTGTTAGGACGACTGTCACTACCGTACCCAATCTCTCTTCTACCTTTGTATGTTCATAGCAAAGAATAGAGAGGCAACAATAAATATGTTATAATGGGTTTGGATATAGAATACGATTATTAATAATAACAATAATGATTGTCCAAAGACAGGTTTTTGAACTGGGTTGAAATTTAACTCATAGCAGGTAAATTTGAGTGGGCAATGGGCATTATAAGGAGTTATCAATTTCCATTTTACAATGTAGCTTTCGGAAAAGCATATTTTCAAATAATAAATAAAAATATTTAAACAAATAAATAGAAACAACTTATCATTCACCCAAAATCACTAGCAAACTTCTCAATTAATAACAGAGAACTATCGACGTAGATTAAAGAGAAAAGCGCCACTTGATTTAAGTCATCAATTTCCTGATAAGGATTGAAATAACTTAGTTATTATTTGTAAGAAATTATTTATAAGTAAATAGTTAAGATTATATCATTATCATTAAAATATTGTTAATGTTAAAACGAATGGAAAAACAACTATTGAGTTGTTTTTCCAACATGTCAATATAGCATACAATGTCCCTTTACGGCTGACAATTGTAAATTTCCCAAATTTACTAAATGTCCTTAACTGGACAGTTGGTATTGGTATTTTGCTTTGAGGCAAGTTACATGAATTTTCCGATATGTGTAAATAATCGACCTAATCAATAAAAAATAAATTAATTTATGAGTGATTTAAGTATGAAAACGAACGAACACGTTAACTCGGAATATTTTCTAAGAGCAAATTTTCAAAAATCAACAATTTTTATAATTGAATCAGTTTTCGTAGGACTTTAATGGTTTAGTATATTCATTAAGACCAAGTACTCTATCGTTATACCAAGTAAATCGTCTAATTTTAATTTTAACAAACGTCAAAAAAACTACTCATTTTCTCAAACTTTGATGAATTTTTAAAATTAAACTACTTGTCGTAAGACCGTAATATTTCAGTGAGTTCTATAAGACTATGATCTATATCGCCAAAAAAAGTTCAATGAAAATTGGCTTACTTTTTTTTTCAACAATTAATTACAAGAAAACGGCTCGGTAGATTTTCACCTAAAACTAATCAGTATCATTCCCAACTAAAATCTTTCGAACGGTTTTTGAATTTTCATAATCGATTTAGAATTGCGGAATAAAACGTGGACGAAAATTTTTTCACATTTCTGCTATTTACAAAGAAACGGCTTGGCCGATCCACTAGATACATGGAATGGCTTTTAAATTTTTGAAATCGGTCTAGCCGTTTTTGAGAAAACGTCGATTTACGACAAAAAATCTGTTCACATACACACACACACACTTTTTCCAAATTTGGTCTCATTCGATTCAGAATGGCTTGAAACGTCGAGAAAACATAAAATTAGCGAATCGGATTTTTTGATGAAAACATAAACTTTTCCTTCCTTTAATAAAATAGAGAAAAAAAAACATTCATCTTTATTTCAATTGAAAATTGATATCACTGCTACATGAAACACTTGGTTTGAAGCGCGGGATCGAAAACAGGACACGATAAGTCGCACCGCGGTATACTTGCCATTACCATTATAATGATTATTATTGTTTTGGTACCTTTTCCGAAAGGAGTTTTATCGATTAGAAGCACTATTTTTTACATCATTTAGCAGTATTAATTTCCATGACTTATAATTAACATTTTAACAACCTATGATTATATGCTTATGTATTCTCCACTTGGACTTTCAATTTTCAAGTCGTCAATAATCTGCTTTCTTTTTCTTCCTCGTATTTTATGTTCTTCTATTTTCCAATCTATGACGTCATGTCCAGTTTGGTTTGCTTTTTGCAATCATATCCAGAGTACATGTCTTCCACAATTTATCGCTGTACTTCTACTTCTCCTGCACCACATCCGAAAACTGTCCGGATAGATTTCGATGACTTTTCGATGAATTTTTTTTAAATTCTTACCCCTGATCCTCCTTTATTACTGTTTAATTATAGTTTTAAAAAAATATATGAATTGAAATGTTTTCGTTCTGTTTCAGATCAATATCAGGAAACAGGATACAGAGAATGGACTCTGACAGTTTGCCCCGACAGCTCGTTCTGCTCGACATGAGATCGACGGCTCTGAGCGAAGTGGCGGACGACACATTCCGACACATGACCCGGCTGAGGAATATGTAAGTTATTTGTTTCTCAATTGACTTGCGATTGATTCTTCATTTGCGAGTGAATCAGCTGTTGCCAACGTTATTAAATGTTTGTATGATTTACTTACGATAATTCAACTTGCCCAGTACATAGTCTTGAGGCAGACTTTAAAACTAAACCTACTAAGGCGGATCAAATTGACCGTTTCAAAATTCGCATATAACTTAGACATTTTTAATCGTCAAAATACTCAAAATCAAACTATATGACAATTCTTAGAATATACTAATAATATTCGCTTCACTCTTTAATTTTAATTATTTTTTGTATTTTCCGAAAAAAATTATTATGTGGCCTAACTACCACAGTCGGTCAATTTGACCGGTGGAAAATAATGCAATTTTGGGAGCTGTTTTCATCGAAATGTAGGTGCAGATTTATACAAAATATACCAAACTAGCTGTACCCTTCACGCTTTGCCGTCATTTAGTTTAAATTAAAAAGTTGCACAAAGATGTGTATTTGTTACATTTAGTTTAGCGTTACTACTATCTGTTCAACAATTTACCTATTCAACAATTTGTTCACAAATTTACCATAAACTTGTTAATCAATCTACCATTTTACCGATTTACCAGTTTACCTGTCAACCTATTTACCTATCAACCCGTTTCACATGTCTATCAATTTACCTATCAACTTGTTTATCCGTCTTGTTAATTGTCTATCTACCAGTTTATCTGTCCTGCCTACCATTTTACATATCCTTCAATTTACCTGAACACCAGCTATTCAACAAATTACCTTTTCACCAGTTTTTTTGTCTACCAATTCACCTGTCTATCAATTTACCTGTTTACCAATTTACTTATCGACCTGTTTATCAATACACTATTTTACCTGTCATCTTGTTATAAATGTCTACCAATTAACCTATTCAATAAGTTACGTGTTGAACAATTTACCTGCTTAACAATTTGTCTACTAATTTACCTATCAACCTGTTTATCAATCTATCATTTTACCGACCTACAAATTTACCTGTCATGTCGTTCTACATGTCTACCAATTAACCTGTCAACCTGTTTATTTATCTACATATTCGGCTAAATACCAGTTTTTCTCTCTACCATTTTACATATCCTCCAATTTACCTGTTCACCAGTTTACCTTTATAAATTATAATTATTTATAAATTATAAATTATATATTATTATATTATAAAAAAAATTAATGCTCAAATTGATTCTACGTTTTAGTTAGAAAACTCTGTATGTGAAAAAGAAAAGATCTGTTTTAGGGTTTTCCCGACGATTATTCGATTTTTTATCGCCGTAAGAACCATCCTTGGACATCAACGAACATTTTAAAAAAAGAATTGGTCAAATTGGTCCAGGCGTTGTTGAGTTATGCGATTACCAACACATTTTGCGATCCATTTTTATATATAAGAAAGATGAACCAGACAAATTTAGAATAAAGTTCTGGATGGTGTGTGAAGTCAATTGTAAATATGTAATAAATGGGTTCCCCTATTTGGGAAATGACAAGAGGAGAGATTGTTCAATTTTTCAATTGGATACTTCATTGTTTGAGACTGATAAATTTAATTACAAATTTTGAAAAAAAATGTATAAATCATATCACGGTACATAAAAATACCTGAAAAAATGCTTGTCCCAAGTTTCAAACATTATCCAAATAGGAGAAAGCAGCAAAAGCGTTCCGAAAACTATTAGATTATGTATTAGCACATTGTTTGTTGAAAATGTAGCAGACCAGATGGCTAAGAAATGTTACATGAAGTCGAAAATTTGTAGGTGGCAACTTTGGAAATATTTCAACATTTTAATCCTAGCTAGATAAATGCTTAAGTCGTTCATAGAGCGACAACGAGTAAAAGCATTTCTAGGTATGTTTTCTTGTTTTAGTTATTTTTTAACTCAGCGTTGCATATTCAAAACCTCAAGTAAATCAAGTTTTTATCAATACTGTCCATAAGTTCGGCTTTGCACGGACGAAAAACTAGTCTAATAGAATTTTGCAAAAATTACAAAAACAACAAATATATTTGCGTTAAGTGCATATTTCAGACCAAAATAATTGGTAAACAATGTGAGAAAGCCGAATAAAGTATATTATGTATGCATATGGAATTCTGTATAAATATTTAATTTTAATTGCGTTTTTCTTATAATTTCTTTTAGAAACAATATAAAAGTAAATTTTATTAAATAAATCAATCATTATCTGAATTAAATAATAAAATAGATAACTTTTTAATTATAGGTCAATTTGACCGCCCCCGGTAGGTATAGGTATACATAAATCGTCTGTCGGTAGGTTTAGTATTAAAAATAAAGTGGTGGATTCTTTTGCCCACTGGCCTTTTACTCCATCTATGATGTTAAATACTAACCAACCAAAAAATATCAACTGACAAATTTTTGAAACAATGATGAATTATCCGGGGAATTTACTGAACATATTTAGATAGTTGTTTGTTTGATACGTGTTATTTGTTGTCATGTAGCTGGTTTGGTTTCCACTGTATAATTGCTAAAAGTCAAATTGGTCTTTTTTTATTCACCCTATTCTATTACTAAATATAATTGATAGTATAATTGCTAAAAGTCAAATTAATCTTATTTTATCCATCCTATTCTATTACAAATGCTTAAAAGCAAAATATGAAAATCAGGTATCAAAAAGAATCATATTGGAATTTATTAACCTCGATTTCACAGCATCCCAAATATTTTTATTGTTTCTAAACTTTCTATTAAACTTTATTTATAAAGTTTACTTGTAACATCAGAGAAAAACAAATAAGGAACTTCAGTGAACGGGGCTAAGATTAGCGTGATAGAATCAGGGAAAATTATGATCATTAATTTTAATTATATTCGTTGGGTAAATCTAAAACGAGCTCAGTAACATAGAAGATTATAGTCCAGAACAAAGCAGACTCATATATTAAGGGTTCCGTATAAATATATGTTCAAAAAAATAAATTTTCCATCGTTTATTGAATAGCGGTGATTATTTATATGTTCTTTACCATATATAGTATATATACTGAAGTATTAAAAATCGAATTGTATTAGAGCGTATTATAAAGAATATTTTCAAAAATTCGGGACAATCCTGGACAAAAAATATTAATCCGGATCATATTGTTTCTAGCAAAATCTGGACATATGATCACCTCAACAAATAGATATTTACATATATTTCTCCATTCCATTTTTAATTAACTTCCCGAAGGAGAAGTTTGTTTTCATCAAAAAATTCGATTCGATAATTTCATGCTTTCTCGACGTTTCAAGCCATTCTGAATCGAATGAGACCAAATTTGGAAAAAAATGTGTGTGTGTGTGTGTATGTGAACAGATTTTTTGCCGTAAATCGACGTTTTCTCCAAAACGGCTGGACCAATTTCAAAAATTTAAATTATTATTTGTGCGACGATCGGCCGAGCCGTTTCTTTGTAATTTGAACAAAAGTTTTAAACTTTTCGTCCACATTTAAGCTCATACTACTATGGACACATAATTTTATTCTGCTTTTCTTAAACATAGAGTTTGCTTAAATCTTATCAAGATCATGTTTCTTGACAGATGTCCTGAAGATAGAATGTACCTAGTTCCAAAACGTCGACAGTTAATTAATAAAGCAATGGTTTTTAACTTTTTTTGTTTTTTATTACTTTTTGGGAGAACATCGTCTGATTTGAATGAATTAAAAATATTTTACACATGGAATGAAACGTAGATTAAATTTTTATGAAGGCAAGTCTACCGGTTTCCGAGATCCCAGATACCAAAAAGTTGCAAAAATCCCATTTGGTTACTTTATTTTCGATAACATCATTAGAAATTATTTCATTTTACGTTAAAATAAATCTGCAATCTTATACGCTAATATACGTATTGGATATTAAAAATTAATGTGCTCTTCGTATAACGGCGGATTGAATCTTCAGTCGCATGTAATCTCGTTAATGTCAGTTTTTGTAAAAATCTCATTAAAGGCCACGATAAACTACAATGCCGGTACCCATTACCACCCTTGATGTTTTAGCTTTTCGTATTTTTTGCTCACTCAGAGTCACTCTATGGACTTTTTAATCTCTGATTCAGGAATAACAAAAAATACCAGAAAGGCCTGCTTAACTTGTACAGTAAAGCGCTGACAGATTGATAAATTGCATTTTGGACATTGATTAATAAATATTTGCTATAATAAACTAGTGGTGTATGGCATCGTGCCTTGAGGCGAATTGCTCGAACTTCCCGTACCGTAACGAAATGTTCGAGGAATATTAAATGTTTTCAAATAGATTATTATAAATAAATACTGTAACATTATCTATATTTATAAGAATTATATAAACTGAATTGCAAATTTGAAAATACTTGTTTAATGTATATTACGGATCAACCGATTTAAATGGTTCAAAAAACATTAGATTTCTATTGATAGGGAGATGTGCTGATTAGTTTTTGGCAAAGGCAGGTCCAGCAGTTACGGAGATAAAGAGCAAAGAGTGCAGAAAATAGAAATCGAGTTCTTGAAAAAACGGAGCATCCGATTTGAATGATCTAAAAAACATTCAATTAGTAATGATTGGGAGAAGTGGTTATTAGTTTTTGGCAAAGGCAGGCCCAGCCATTTCAAAGATATAGAGCTAAATGTGCAAAAATTGGCAGTTTTTGAGAGAACTAAGCGTCCGATTTAAATGATTCAAAGAACTTTCTGTTTGTTTTAATAAAATAATTGATTTTGGAAAAAAAAATTTTTGTTTCAAAATTTATTTTTTCCATTTTTTTTTCTTTATATATATATATTTTTTTTGTATATCGAAAATAATTCAGATTTTATTTTTAATTCTGACTAAAATTCTAATATACTTTACACAAATAATTTCAACTTTGCAATTCAGTTTATGTAATTCTTATAAATATTAGACAATGTTACAATATTTATAATAATCTATTTGAAATATTTAATATTCCTCGAACATTTTGTTGTGGTACGGGAAGTTCCAGCAATTTGCCTTAAGGTACGATGCCATACACCCCACTAGTTTAACTTTTTTTTTGAATATCGATAATAATTGAGTGATTGAATGATTATATACTTTAAGTGAATAATTTTAACTTTGTAATTCAGTTTATATAAATATTAGACGATATTACAGAATTTATATTAATCTGTTTGAAAACATTTAATATTCATCGAACATTTCGTTACTGTACGGAAAGTTCCAGAAAATTGTCTTAAAGCACGATGCCATACACAACTAGTTTAGTTTTATCTCACATATTTCTGATGAATAAATAAGAAGAAACATTGAAGTTTTTCATTTCTAACAACAATTTCAAATATTATATTTATATTTATGCAATTGTTACACTTGAAGTGAAACTTCGAAATTTTATCGAAGAATTTAAAAAATCTATATTGTATTTTTGCATAATTTAGGGTTCTGCACTAATGTACAAAATATATAAGATAAAACAGAGACATTTTAAATATCAGATTTAAATGTATTTTGAATTGTAACCCTTCAAACAAAACGTTAAAATTTCATTGAGGAAGTGTAATGTACGTTTTTTGTGTGGTTTAGGGTTCCGTACTAATATACAATGTATATAATATTAAATGCATACAGTAATTTTAAATATCACACAGAATTTTTAATATTTTTGTAATTTTATTATGGATTAATAATATTAATAGAATTATTAGAATTAATATTTTGATAATTTTTTATATAGTTTGCCACCATTTTGTCACAAGCAAAGTATGGTATTTTTATTGATACTATTTTAAAGTAGAGAGAAAAATGTGTTTAACCAGCCATCGCCTTAAAGTAGGGCGACACCGCTATCATCAGGAAAATGGCCACATTATCAATTTTTTAACGAATGTATTTTTTTCGTTGTTAGTTTTTTTTGGCGTTGAGCACTTTTATTCAATTTACGATACCTGAATATACTTTTTAAGAATACGTTGTTTAATTGTTATATATGATGTATTGTTATTTTTAAGTTAAATTAAATGATGTTTTTTTTTTTAAATATATAGAATAAAGATGTTTTTTACACGACCTTGAGTATAGCTTACATAATCTAGTATGATTATATGTTGGGGTAAAAAGGACCACCTAAACCTTTACACTGGCAAAGTAATAACAATAAGAAATAAGTGAATGAAAGTGAAGTTAGTCAAAAAAACACAATTTCACAAAAAATAAACAAGAGATAAATTAAATAAATAGTTATTAACTTACCGTAGGGTAAGTTATAGTAATCGCAAAAATCAAAATAATTCAAAAAACATGATTTCTATTTATGGTAAGACGTGCTGATTAGGGGGTGTCCATTAATCACGTGAGATTTTTAGGAAAGGGGGCGGTTTGACAAAAAATCATGAAATATTATGTGGTGGAGGGAAGTAAGATATCACGTGTATTTATTTTTTAACTGATTTTTTTTAAAAAATTCAAACATTTTAAAAAAATTACAGTTTTATCACGTAACTAAAAATACACGTGATGTTTGGTTTGTGAGGGGGGGATGTGTAATTTTGAGTATCACCTAAAATCCTTAAAAACTCGCTCACGTGATTTCAAAAGATTAAAAATTCTTAAAAATTAAATTTTTTCAAAGTTTTCAAATTTAGTTAAAGCTTTTAAAAATTTTAAATTACGGTACGGAAAGTTTCAGCAATTTGCCTTAAGGTCGTGCATCACCAGTTCCAACTCTGATGATGAAATTCTATGCGAATTCTTCTGAGGAAATTCTATGCGAAGGTTGAGTGTGAACTTTGTAAAAAATGTACCCACAAAATATGTCAAGCAAGAGTTGTGATAATAGCAAGAGCGGATAAAGATTTTTGTTTATTATGTTTAACAATATGTATTTAGATTATATTTTTTGTTGTTCAACCTAATAATAAAACTGCATCGCACTTACATCGTTTAATTATGTAGCTATTACACCGTAAAACCACTCCAAAATTAAAACAAAAATAGTGGAATTTTACATAACGTAGTTCCATAGTTGTATGTTTATTTGTTATCTATGTTGTTTTATAATTACTAAAAGTCAAATTGGATATTCAAGAATTCTGTTTATTCCGAAGTATTTAAAATTCTGTTAAAGCAAATTGTCATGCAGATTTCACATATTAATAACTTTAGAAACTTTGGTCAAGTTTCTACAATTTGCCTCAAGATGCGGGGCACAAAGCCATACACAACTAGTTTATATATATATATATATATATATATATATATATATAAATGTATGCCATAACTGTCAACCAAACCAACAAGGGATAATATATCCTTTTCTATTCCAGAGTGCAAAGTTCAAGCGCACCGCGTATACATTTTACGAGCGAAACTCAGATAACTTTACCGATCATGATGTATGGGCATACTTCTTTTACATCATCTGTATCTAAAGACGTTGTAGACATCGATTTTATTTGCTGCTGAATGGAAAATGTATCTAAATCAATATAAACTATATATTTCTAATTCTTCTATTTGAAAAAAAAAAGAAATATTGTAAATTTATAAGTGCTTATTAAATTGTGTGTAAATTTTAATTCCTTGGAAATTTTGATTTTGTTTGAAAATTTTGTAATTTTAAGAATTTGAAATTTTTTTATGTTTGATTTTTTTTTCAATTCTATAAAAAAATCGTTTTTTTCAAATTCTGAAATTTTCGAGAAAAATCTTTTTTAATTCTGAAAAATTTTGAAAATTTGTTTTTTTTAAATTTTAATTTTTTTCCGAAAATTTTGATATTCTTTTTAAATTCAGAAATTTTTTGAATAAGCATTTCTTTACGCCTTCAACATTTTATTCTAATCGGATGATCAGTTGAAAACTGCATGACCATTTTTTTAAACCGTTGCGCTCCGTACCTCCGAAGCGGCTAGACGTGCCTCTCGCAAAAATTAACCAGAACGTCTCGCGGTTAGTACGAACCCAATAAAATGGAAACAAAATGTATATCGTTATTAAATTCTCTAATAAATATCTGATAATTTGATGGGCACATGTTCAATGATATTTTTTCACCCCCAAATGCCTTTTTTTTTCTTTTTTTTTTTGATTTGCAAAATTTTCATTGACGATTTCGGGAACATCGATCTACCGATTTGAATAATTTAAAAAACATTCGATTTGTATTGATAATGAGACGCGCTGATTAGATTTAGGCGAAGGCAGGTCTAGCCGTTCCGAAGATACGGGGCAAAAAGTGCCAAAAACGGTAACTCAGTTTTTAAGAGAACGAAGCGTTCGATTTTAATAATTCAAAAAACTGATTAAATTTTTGGAAAGGCAAGTGCAACGGTTATGGACTCTCAATAAAAATAAATTAAAAAATGTCATTTTGCAGACAAAAATGTTTATTGGACATATGTACATCGAATTATCAGATATTTTATAGATTTTAATAATGTGCACACATTTTGTGTAATTTTTTTGGATTCCTAACCTAAGATTTTTAATTACGGTACGGGAAGTTCCAGCAATTTGCTTTAAGGCACGATGCCATGCACACCAGTAGTTTCCTTTGATTAGTTTAACTTTGAAAATGTTAAAAATACAACGAGTTTTTTTAAATTGTAGGCCAAAATACTCCCTTGAAGTTGATCATTTACGCGTATGGACAAGTTCATGCAACTTGTCACACAAATTCATACCATAGATAAACAAGTATAAACTTGAATGCCACTTATAACTAGTTCGATATTGATTGAAATATCAAAACTAAAACTAAGCAAGTGAGAATTCAGCTTTACACGTGAATTTTTATTATAAGTTAATTAAAACTAAAAGTGTACAAATAAGAAAAAATATTAATGCTAATTAAAAATAAAACTATGTAACTATGGTAATGTCTTTGTCAATGAAGAGAATTATTAGCATAGCTCAATTAAAACTATACAAATGCTTGTTAATTTAGAATAATAATTATTATAAGTAGATTAAAATTTAATCCAAACAAATGCTCTTGGCCACAAAAGAGGATTTGTTATCATAAGTATAATAAAGAATAAAACGACAACTATACAAATGTTTTTGGCATCAAAAAGGTTCATTAATATAATTTGATTAAAACTCAACAAATGTCTTAAGCAACAAAGAAGCATTGATATCAAGAGTTTGAGTATAACTAAAACTCTATAATTATTCTTGACGACAGAAAGAGATTGCATAACTATTATTATAAGCTGATTAAAACTAAAATTAAGCATTTGTCGTTGCCATCAGGAGTGTATTATTATTATGGTGCTATTATCAAATAGGAATATAGTTAGATCTGTTTCTGATTGCAGCGTTTTATCGGAGTCACGTAATCTGCGAGCTTTGCCGAATTTGACGGGCGGCCCGGCTCCTTGGAAGTATTAAGGGTTATCGCGCTGGACTGGAAGATACGCCTTACGCTTATGTGAATCCTGTCCTAAATTGAAGAGCCTGTGAGTATTATATACATAATTAATTCCACATATTCACTTATCTGCAGATTTACTATCGGTTTTATTACTTCCCGTAGGGCAAGTTATAGTAATCGCAAAAAAATCGAAAATGAAAATTTTTATATATCTTTACTTTTCAGAGGTTTCTGACATTTTGGCATACCCTTAGAAAAAATGATGTATGTTGTGGTGTGTGTGTGTGTGTGTTGTGTGTGTGTGTATGTATGTAATGTGTGTGTATGTATGTGCGGATACAAATTTTGGTCGACGATTTCGGGAACACGGATCAACCGATTTGAATAATCAAAAAACATTCGATCCGTATTGATAAGAGACGTGCTGATTAGTTTTTTGGCAAAGCAGGTCAAGCCGTTCTGAAGATACGGGGCAAAAGTTCCGAAAACGGTAACTCAGTTTTTAAGAGAACGGAGCATCCGAGTTTAATAATTCAAAAAAACGTTTTATTTGTATTGACAAGATGAAGAATCGATACAACTTTCATGAGGTAGGTCCAGCGGTTTCGGAGATATAGAGGAAAAAGTAAAAAAATGAGCCATTTGGCGGTCCAAAATGATCATT